AGTTACACACTACAAAATAAAATATCTTATGTTTTATGTAGTATGTATGACAAAACAAACAGCCATGCGCTGATGTATAAAAATTAAATTTGCCCCCCGTAGGCTAGAAGCTGGATACGCCACTGCCAGATATATTTCTACCTATTTCACTTAACGATTTATTTACAGGTAGATTATGTTTAGACTTTAGTGTTTTTTATAACTACCTTCATATTAAATAACTATCTACAGTATAGTCGGCGATCTTTCGATGTCCGGCGCGTACAAAATGTTTTTCATCAATTTATAATTTTACTGAGACATATTGGACTCTGTCTGGATATTAAATAAGTGGTAGGAATATCAAAAAATGTCCGGGTCACAAGCTACTTGTCCACATAATATGAAAGCCGTTAAATTAAATCGTTTTTATTACATCACTGTCTTTTTTCTGCAGCCAAAAACTAGACCACTCTTAAGTACCTACGAGAAAATCTTCAATGTCAACGATTTGTAATACTGTTGAGCTAGTTAGTTGACGAATCAAAGGTCGGTAATTGGGTAGGTCACACGGTTAATTTATCCGAAAACCGGCGCAACACTAATTAGCATATTTTAATCATCTCTGAATTTATTAATCAAAACAAGTGAATATTATGGGTCTATTTGTGAAGGTAACAGGTTTTAATATTTGCATAATTAATGCGAAGTTTTGTCAGTCAATTTTCCGATACTGTTCCGATGGCGTAAAAGTAAAATTTTCTTAACAGTTACCATTAAATAAAGCAAACCAGTAGTTACTGAGATGAGCGAATTCAAACAAAGAAACATACTGTTCAGCTTTATTATATTAGACAACGTCAGTTCGATTCGGCTTGTGTTGCCTAAGCATGTTTAAAAGACACAAGTTTCTTTTAAAGTCGTGTAAAATGTTCTTTATATAAAGAATACGTTTCCCTTAAGTGGCCATGAATATTTATGTGTTTTGAAATACACTAATTCATTTGTAATTAATATATATTTCATTGGAACGTTTGCTATTTTCATTACGTTGCATTTTTCTACTATTGGTGTAATATATACATTTTTCTAAACCTTGATGGATCTTGATTTTCCAGTAGAATCTCTATACGCAAAACTTGATTTTTTTCAACTCGGGTACACCTACTTCCCAATTCTTTTAATATTTTGTCTTCGACTATTAAAAGAATTGGGAATTAGGGGTACTAAAAGTGCTAAACTTTAAAATGTTGAAATTAAGTTTATTAACAAAAATGCCATATCCTTTTGGAAGAACGAATAAAAGCTTGTTATAATTTCACTTACTTTAAACATCTATCATAACGCGACACTCGCATGACGTCTTTGTATTTATATCGGAATTATGTATAAGGCGAAAAAGGGGTAAATATTCCAAATTTTATTTTATACAATTCTATTTTTAAAAAGTTACCCCATTCGTCTAGAAAATTGACAGAATAAACATTTATATTGAATTTTTTAAAACTGGTAACTCAGCACTCATACAGAGACCCGAAAATGATCTAGTGCACGTTGAAAGCACTTAATCGTAAGTGCAGTACCTACCGAACTGTGTCAATGTACAGTCAAGACTATTTATTTATTATTGCTTTATTATTTATAAAACACACCACAAAAAATACACATAAATGAGGAAAATCTTATGCACTAACTTATAAATAAAAGGCGCCTTATCGCTAAGCAGCGATTTCTTCCAGGCAACCTGAAGTAAAGGAGAAAAAAAATAAAAAATATTTCGTGGGTAGGTGTCAGGAATAACAAAGAATATCAAGGTACACAGTGAAAGTACATACAGCGAGTAGGAGAGACTAAATACTACTACTACTAACTAACTAACTTAAATATTGGAAACATAAAACTTATACAGCAGACTCTTAAAAGAACGGAGTGATTGTGCTTTTCTGATATTAGTGGAAAGAGAGTTCCAAAGGCTTTTATGTTTAGGAACAAATAGAAGGAGATTATCAATCGAGCGAAGATTTAAGTGGTGGGAACTGTAAAAAGGATGAATATCTCCTTTAAATAAGAGCGAGTTTTGGGATCAAAAAGGACACGGTAAAGGAGAACTGGACTAGAACTGAGAATTCCACGAGTTCAGATTGGGAGCCAGTAATTTCTACGAAATTCAGAAACGTGACATATTTGCGAAGGCCAAAAATGAAACGGATACACGTATTCTGAAGCCGCTCTAGTTGTTCAAGTTGAAGTTCGAGAAGAGTAAGTATGGTCACCTACTGGTTATCCATCCTGCGCCGGATGTCATCCTGGATTTAGACAAGTACATTAGTCGTACTATGACCAGGACGAAAGCTGGATTGGAATGGATTAAGTGTTGGTTAAGATGCATGCAAAATTGATGGTGGACTAAGCGTTCAAGGACCTTGGCGAGAAATGGGAGAATTGAAACGGGGCGGTAGTCCGAGAATGTTAGAGGACGAGATTTTTTAGGAATCGATATAACATAGGCATCTTTCCAGGTTTGGGAAACACGCCCGATGTTAAGGAAAAGTTTAATATATGACTAATTACGTGAGCAAGGATATCAATAGAAGGATCATGTTACGACTAATGCAATCACTACCGAGAGCTTTAGACGTGATGGAAATTATGTTTTTTATTTATGACTATATCTATACCTATTACCTATCTACTATTTTTAAATGATAAAAATAGTTTAAGCAAACAAAATACAATTAAGGAACTCGGCAAAACACGACATATTTCTCTCGCGAGTCCCTAGACAAGTGAGGAAAACCGGGATATATGACAAGTTTTCGTTAACCAGCTCAACAACTTGTTCAGTATGAAAAATCGGCTGAATTTAATAGAACGAATGAAAATTAACATGAATGCCAATTTAATGAATGACACTATAAAATAATTAAGTCGACTCAACTCTTTCAAAGCTACGTGCAAAATTAAACGGCATTTATAAAATCGTTCTTCAAATGTAGTAGTATCCAATGCGTAACAGTATTCACGTAGAAAAGTGTTTTAAAAAAGGCTTGAATGTTACACAGACAGGCGTTGAACCCACGATAGGCTATTTATACAGGTCTCATGTGGATTAATGTAAAAAAAATCGAAACGCAATCGAAATACATAAATTTTGATAACACCATTAACAATAGTATTTTTTTTTGTTTAATGACCTAACCAGTAGGCTGTCGATTCCAAAGGAGGTTAGAACATGAGCAAAACGATTTGTTAGAGCAGCAGTATCCTGTTGCCGGTTCAAATCCCGACCGTGTTATCGGTTATATTACAATCTATAAAGATTTTTAATCTGTATGAGCAAACGACGAAGCGAGACCGCCTGGACTCGAACACAAAGCTATTTATAGGTTTAACAATTGAACATCAATAAATTAATTATTCCGCTCACATTTCTCGCATGAATATACGACATGAATAATATTTCGTCTTTATAGTCGACCAGCAACTCAGTTGTCGATGACCTTTAGATAATACTGTGCTGCAATTTTAAGGGCACAAATTATGCAATGCGTTTTAATACAGAACGTCCTCATAACCCTTGATATGCGTGTTAAGATGCTGGCTGGTTTTTTGCTTTTTTGTTGATTACGTAAGAATTATTGAAATGCGATCTGCGATGTTTCTCTTTTGTTTTTTATTACTACACATACTTCTCTCCAGAGTCATAAATTGTTTCTCTGGGATTCGAATTTTAAAAGCTATCAAAAAAATAATAGGTGAAACTTTGTTTATTTTTTTAAGACAGCTTTGTTACGCACCATTGTGGCTTTTTTAAACTTTGAATTAATCTGTGCTACGTTAGGTTTTAAAACGTTTAAGGATTAAAAAAATACAATGGACAAATACAATCTTTACCCCTTTAGTTACTTTGGTTTTGCCAAATTCTTTAAAATCATGTATTGGTAGGATTTATCTTTTATATTTTATTGAAACATAAAAAGACGTACGATTATAGAAATATTTAAAAAGTCAATGCCATTAACGCACTATTAATAACAAATTAATTTCTTATGCAATTCTCGCGTCATAGGCAGGCATTTAAAGAATACATCGCTATTTTGAAATAATCGCAATTTTAATATTAATTAATATATTTTTTATAAAACAAAATGTAGACTATAATAATGCGTAAAAATAAAAGACGTAGATGTTAAATTTCATACAAGAACATAGCTAAAGGAGCTTATATTCAAACTTTCAAAGTTAATTAAAAGCATTTCATAATTATTAGAACAAATTTTAAAGAGATTTCTAATTACAAACTATACACACTTCCTTTTAAAAATTGTCTTAACAAAAGAGAGAACATTTTCTGTTTCAATAACAAGTAGTTATAATAAAAGCAACGTAAGCAATGAAACAGTGAATTTTTCATTTCTTTAATCACTCTTTTGCTCGCTTTAGTTGTTCGAGGAAGTCTTCGAAATTTTAAAGATATAAAGTTGAACTTGTACTTTTTAACGCCATTTCATTTTTCGCGGAACACTTCACACAAATTCCGCAAAAAATAATACTGTTCAAAATAAAGTTCTGAATTTGAATTGCGCTAAAGTTCGATAGATAAAATAAAACTATAAGAGACTGAATGTTTGCTTTTAAGAGTGGTAATATCATCAAAATCCTTAAATAAACGCACTCTCTAAATAAAGTCCTTAGTGCGACGGAATAATTATGGGAAACAAGAAAAAAAAATATTTCACCATCACAAAGAAATCGCCACAAGCAACAAGGTCGCTTTGAAACATTGTTTTGCTATTTACAGTTTAGTTTCTCTCCATATAAATTAGACAAATAACGGCCGTTACGAACGGCGAACTCAATCAAAGTTAGGAGTTCGTACTTTAATGATATTCGGAACTTTAAAAATTCACTTAGCGGAAGCTCGTGCGAGTTCGCCCCGGGCATAGATTCGATTCGAACTTCACACCTATAGTAACCGGTTCGCAAGCTAAATTCGCGTTCTAAAAACTTTTGAAACTTACAGCGTGTGGGCTTCCGCTGGTGTTTCTGGGACCGCTTGCAGACCTTGATGGAGGCATCGCACTGCGTTTCTGTCGCATTGGCAGCGCTGCGGGCACTCGGATGACGAGAGGAAGATGGAATTGAGGAGAAGTAAGCACGCGAGGGCAGACGGTGGCCTCATAGCGGAGGCCGGGAAGTGACCGCCGCGTAGGGAACGTTACACGCGAATGATATGCCTTGCGTTCCCGCTGAGCTTTACCGCCTCCGCCACGGACCGTGATAGGGTTGCTGCATTCGCATTGAGAATTTGCCCTTCCATCCTTTATTCTGCAACACAAAAATGTTTAATATACATACTCCTTTATCTAAGACTAATAAAATAAATAAATATTTGAAAACTTTAATATTTTTCACATGTGAATTTATAAGAGTTGTAATACTTATTAATTAAATTAAAGACTCTTCATTTGTGGTGAAGACTATGCTTTAATTATTACCCTTGAGTCGTTTTTTTAGTTACATGCTTTAGTCATTAATTATAATATTTTCATATATGCCTGTATATTACTTCCTCTAACACTATTTTGTTGCCTAACTTTAATATACGACATTGCTATTAAAGCGTTATTATTTTTTTTAAATTAAACTAATCTCCTGAATTTTGGGTGAAATCCACAAGCGACAACCCTAGTTTCCAGCACACACGTTCCGCCAACAATGACGACATTTATCTCCTAATATAACAATTATTACACATTGTATTTGAAGTACAAGGACCGGCTGGCACATCTATGCTAATTCAATGATTTATCAAAAGGCATAGGTTAATATTCTTAAACCATATTAAATATGTAAATAAAGGTAATAGAACTCGAGTTATGGCCGTGAATCCATAATTTGTAGAGATGTGACGAATTTTAAACTTCGAATGAATAAATTCGGCAGAGTTTCGGTCGCACTTTTAAACTAAACAGTAACTTTAGTTTTAAAAAAAGAACTTTAACGGTTTAAAACGCGATATATATATTTGCAGCAGCCATGGTCACGGGGAGACCCCCTGTCCGGACGCATCCGAAACGCCGGGCCGTAGTTAAAAATATTTTTCAAATAAGTTTAACTAATATATATCGCGTTTTAAACCGTTAAAGTGTTTTATTTAAATGTGTACTTCTCGTGACTACATTACTATTTAGTGACTTAAGTTTCTACGTTTTCGTATAACTTAGAAGAAGTGAATTTCACATTTCCCCCGTAGGGAATGAGGTGAACAGATTTATTTGCCCGAAATTAATAGTGCGTCCCGGTATTGGATTCCAGGACCTCGTAATTAGAACAATACTAGGGAATCTTTTTGTAAATGAGATATTGACTTCCTGTTTTCTTTTAAGGGGCTATTCATAAACCTTTTTCTCAAAATCGATTACTTTTGGCCTTTTCACCCTATGCATAACTTTATACATTTTTAACGTATAAAGTTGTATAAAAAAATGATAATTTCAATCTATAATAAAAATTATGGATCGATATTGTTTGTTTAAGTAATACAATTGTTTAACACTACTATAGTCGTTTTAAGACTCGTCATATAGTTTTCTAAATTTAGTTTGTTACAACAGCAGAATTATCGACAAAACACGAAATAAATAAAGAATGTTGAACACCTGACTAGCGCTGCTATTAAATATATATTTCGCCGGTAAATTTGCATTATTAAAATTTCTAAACTGCAAAGAAACATATATATTAATTTTAACCTTTATATAGAATTAAGGCAATTTCATTTGTCAACATACTTCAATTTATTTAAGGGCAGGAATACATGCATGCATTTAATAAAAAGCTAAGGACCTGATCAGACGAACGGAGATTACTTCAATGTCGGGTTTCCTTTTAACTTAATGTGCTATACGATGAGGTGAGTTATGTTAGTCCACTTCTTGGTCATATTGGATTTATAAGACGTAACATCCTCAGTTCGATAAAAATGCAGCTGAAAAACGCGCTTAAGATTTTGTCTTTTACCATGTGTTACTACTATGTTTACACGTTTGTATATGAGCATATAAAGGCCTTATCTATTTCTTAGACTCGCTCTTCTCTTAGGACTAAATTGGCTATACATTTGGGACTAGTCTAAGTTGTTTTATTAAATGTAATCCTCCTATAAATTAATTTCAGTATTTTGTTACATAATTAAATAATTGTATGCCTCCGCTCCATTACATTTTTCAATTAAAACTTACTTTGTTCGTAATGAACAAGTTTATTTTCTAAGATCTGAAGTATACGTTTTAAAACGTTAAACATAGAAATAGTTGCGTCCTGTTGTTTTGATAAATCTAAGTGGCTCTCTACTCGATTGGCCACGCGACCACCAATAACAAAGCCTGTGGTTGTAAGGTTCGTTGCATAATGACGTGCAAGTTTAATAAGCCCGAATTGATAGTATTTGGAAAAACATATAAAAAGTAAGATTTACATTTTTATCTTAGATAGCTAATAGAGGTAATATACAAAAGTTAACCAGATAACTTATGAATTGAAATTTGTAAGGGTAATATTTTTTATTAATCTTTGAAGTATCCGTCTCCTCTAGCATTTTCCAACATACGGACCAGGTCGTCTGTCCACCTCGTAGTAGGTTGGCCAGGTCTTCGACAAAATTTCACCAGTATCTCAAAAACTGCTATAGCTAGGGAGTTTTAATTTCGACAAACAAAATAATATTAATATTTTAGGACCTTGCTAAACTTATTTAAACATTATTTAACTACGATCTCGACGTTTCGGACCTGTCAATAGGGAGGACGGCTAAGTTATCAAACACCTGGGATCCCATAATAAAAACTGTAGATTCCAAAAAACAGTATACCGGCAAACACATGTCACCATTAGTCAATTCTGCAAGGAACCGGCCATTTACGCCAAATACCAACTACAACGGAACAGATGGCGCTAGTGTAGCAGTTTTTACTTCGACATTTATACAGAGACACCCTCCATCTTTAGTTTCTTTAGCTTCTAGTTCTTTTTTCTTGACCACAGTTGCTGCTAAGGATCAGAAACGTCGGACTGTAGTTAAAGTAATTTTTAAATAAATTTAACTAATATATTTCGCTTTTTAACGCGTTAAAGTTACTCGCGTAAACTACAGACAGTATTAAGCTTACACGCAGTACTTACATAATGTTAAAATTTATCTTCTATTTGGATGAATCACAATTATTTCACTCATTGTGTTGTTATGGACGCATCCCAATATTAAATATATCACGGACTTATCACAACTCGAACGGTTGGTAGGAATGACTGTGCTCTCAATATCTAGGTATAATATGACAGCCGGACCGGTACCTACGTACTATGTATGTATTTGACAGTTGTATTAAGTACGCTGAAGTTGAAGTGCCGGCTTGTCTATTCGTGTAATACAGCTGTTACGAGGCACTCGTTGTTTAGTTGTGCTAGTTGATTTTAGTCTGGATTTTTGAAGTAGAAAGTGACCTCACCCCAATTTTAAACCACCTGGCAAGATAAGCCGTCTGTAATGATTATTAAAGCCCGCCCATCCATATTGGACTAACACGGTGGGTTAACCTGTAAAATTATTTAAATTTTTATTCATTATTTATGGTACTATACATTACCTGTACAACACTAATATACTTGCATTAGAAGTATTCAAGTTGAATTTAATTTTTCATACGCGGGTAGTTGTAAAAAGGACATAGTTTCCCTTTATCAACCGGCCTGTGACAAAGGAATCGACAATGACGTTTTATTATTTTACCCTTTTCTTCTTATCTTTCCTGATGTTATGTATATTCGTTATTCATTTGTTTCTTGCTTATATAAATCCTGTTTTCCTTATTCCATAATAATTATTTGTACCATATTAATAACTACTTCCTTGTACTTGTACGAAGCGTCAGTTTGTAGTTAAAAGGTGTTTTTACTAAATACTTACGGCTCTGTCCCGGCTTCGCACGGGTAGACACAAATAAGTACAAATATTTAAATTATAAGCATGCTAATTAAAACGACCATGAATCACTAACTTAGAAAAAATTGTATTGTGCATCCTCTCTGTTAACGACCATGGTCTATCTCGCTGGTTCAGAAGCCGCTGCGAGCGTTCAGTGTTAGTGTCCCGTGCACGCGTTCGCGAATTCCTAGCTCTATTTCCTTCAAGTCGCTGCGACGATCTTGCATTTTGTTCTGCAAGACGAACCTGAATATTCGACGATAGATTCTCTAGCTCGCGATTGGGACGCGTACACTCTAACACTTTCCAGACGATCATTTTAGGAAGAAGACTCTCCAATACGACGAACTTTTGCTAATTTCGCTTGGGAACTATTCTTAGATAGCTGCGACCTTCTTCTTCTAGACATATCGCTATGAAGGATATTTGTTTTAAATCAGAGAAATTAAGAATAAACTAATAATAATACAAAAGAAAATATTCAAGTTCCAAGCGATATTTGAAAAACTTTGTATGCAAAGTGTGATTTCTAATACTAAAACTATATATTGATATATTCTATAATATTGTCGAAGATTTTTTTGTCTTATCATTAATACTTTTCGCAGCGTATGCGAAGAAAGACATTTTACGGCTAATTTTTTTACGCCTTCTATTGTTTTTAATAAGAATTTCTATAGATGTCTAATCAAATACTAAATATAGCCTATGTTACTCAGTGATAATGTAGCTTTCTAATGAATAAAGAATTATTATTAAAATCGGTCCAGTACTTTTTGAGTTTATCCGTTACATACAAAAATACAAATCTTTCCTCTTTATAATATTAGTATAGACTACTAGAACGCTAAACACCTCACTAACATAATAAGTATTTAGTCCTACATATAAAAGAATAATTACATATATTTCAAAGGACAAAAAAGGGACACTTTTATTACTTCGCTAACTAGCTCTCTCGGTCACTACCCTATGTCTCAAGAGTAGGACATTTAAATTCACAAAATTCCATCGCTTGAACAATTAAAACTAATAATGTAAGAAAATTTTGATATAAAACACTTTTAACGATTTAAAACGTAAATAAAATATATAAGTTACTATTCATTTTAACTACGGCCCGACGTTTCGGATGCTTTCTAATAAATTTTGAAGAAATGGACTAAAATATTTCGCATTCCAAACCGTTACAATGT